TCGTCGGTGTTACTATGAGAACTTTATATTAGGAAGCCTTTCGTCTCATAATCAGAGCCAAATAAAGTGCGCGAGATATGAAACGTCTTTTTCTAAGTTTGTGAAATCTACATTTGCCTCATTGTGCGACCCTAAATAGAGAATAACTATGTAGCTTATCTTCAGAATCTTTGGCTCAGCTGTGCATAAGCGCTTGCGATGACTGGAGGTGTTTTTCATTAAAAATGCTTGCCAACACAAATTTTTCAATAAAGCCAACTACACCAAAGAGGACATCCCGGTTCGGCATACGCTGACAGAATTCAAAAATTCACTGATGGCAATATAGAATTATGCGTTTTACAGGGCCTTTTTGTTATAAATGCGCACATCATAAGGCTATATGACACCTTGTGAATAATTCAACTATTCTTGCCAGTCAGGTCTATCCAAAGATTCAAAGTTTTAAAATAATGACATGATGTGGTGCAATTCAGTGATACTGCTTGATTTGAACGATATCATGAGCTTGTGCTAACTTCTATCCGCTGCTGTCTTTTTATGCGTTGGCCTCACGCGCGCAGACATTGTTTCATCTCCTTGCTTTCAGATTTTGAGTTATTAGTTTTCATGCGAAAGATTTTGTCCTCCTCTAATCACGCCAATATCCCTGTTGTTTAGAGATTTGAAGGGGAAAATAGACCAATAGTCCGCAAGAAATGCCAGTTGAAAGTAATCATCTTTTCGTATCTTTTTTATTCTTTTTGAAAGGTCTAAATAGTCAAAGGCTCGGTCTCTACTGTAGAATTTTCTATAATTTTGTGTACATTTCATAAAAATTTAACAACCCTTACTATGTAAATTCTACGAGGGTGTTGTACAGGTTTGCCTCTCCTTCTTCATCTTCTTGTCTTACAAGTGCCATTCCTATTTGAGAATAATGTTTAGTTATAAGATTGTTACTGTTTAAAACCACCTACCAAGATGAGCATCATTGAAAGAGGTTACATGATCGTTCAAATGCGTTGACATACTTGGAAGTTTACGCCACCTCAAAAGGGCTTTGAGATAAGATAGTCATGAATAGGCTATATGCGATCTGCTATCTCACCTATCTCCAACATCAACTCCTTCAAGTTCCAATCGCCACAGTAGCGATGCAGCGTCAGCCATTTCCAATACTGAGTGGTTATTTTTATTAGCCCTCCGGCATACTTCACTGAAAGATAATCTTACTTTGGAAATGTAGAATGTAATAAGAAAATTAGTAAGCGCACTTGTCGAAAATTGTTAAAGGTGTCTCATAATCTCCTTTTTCAATATAAAATAAGGTATTGTGCCAATAATTGTGCGTGGCTATAATCCATCCTGGCTAAAATGTTTGTGTTTATTAGGAGGCAAGGTTTATCAAATAACTAGATATACTCACACTCCATTCCTCCACAGTACTCTCCATGAAGTTAATTCCTTCATCCATACGTCCTTGCATAAGCATACAATGTGCTCGTGCATGTGTTGCCCAACAGTCGAAGCGATTAAGATTTAAAGCCTAAAAACAGAATTAAAAAAAACAGTTTTGAAAAATTCTGTGAATTCTATACAGCAATGCAGCTTTGATTCAGTTCAAATTCAAGTTCAGATTTACAAAGTTGATTACTTAAGTAAATATCACAGTAACGATAAGGAAAGAAGTAATGTCAAGCCTCATCAATGCATCCTATCTTGGCGAACTGCAATGAAAAGACAATTTTACGAGCAGGAAAACTCTTCTTGCAAATCACTAGCATTGTCTATGAATCGCTACCACGTGCATCAATGATATTCTGCATACTGCGTTTCTACGTTCATTCTACGTTGGTCTTGCACCACCTAATTTGGAGAAAAAGAGCGCAGAAGTGATGATTCGATACCTTAACAGCTTCCTTTTCCGCCTGATCATACTGTTCGCACTCTTCAAGTCCGAATGCCCACATACCGTGAAGATAGCTGAAT